GCTGAATTCCTCTGATCCAATAAGAGGATTTTTTATTATGCAAAGTAGCGTTTTATTGTCATATTCAGGTGTTACTTTAAGGATAGTCAATGCTCCAGTGACATTTAATGCAAATTTTTCCCGATCAACTACCACCACAGTGCTGCTGTTGAAGATATGCGCAATTAGGTATTTATCCAGGTTGGACTTGCATTCTTCTGTGGTGGGACACTGGAACCAGCCCAGATGAAGAAAAGTCAAATTTGGTGTGACTTGACATAGCACTACGAGGTCTTTCTGATCCAAATTGGCCAGAGTACGGTGAGCAGATGATCCTATTAAACACATGGAAGTTATATTATTTTCTAAGATAGCAATGGATGTAACAAAAAAAAAAATCTATGACATCTTGGCACCTTTGCAAAGAGTACAAAACTAAAAGGGGAACTCCACCTATGATGGCAACCATCAGGAGTTGCCTGCATTCCAAGACGAGATTTTCTGGTCGGTTCCATTTCACTGTTTAACCCTTCATGCATTTGAAAGTAATTGGCATCGTGTTTCTCATTTGTAACATGTATAAAGCCGAGAAATTCAGAAATTCTTTTACAAGGGGAAAAAGTACTGGAACTGAAGTGCAAGGCTGAAATAACTCGTCTCTTCGTCAACCGTTGCAATGGCTACTTTTGAGATATACGGCTGAAAAGTCCCTGGTATCCCAATTTTAATATACTCTTTCAGCTTGTGCTAACAAAATTTTTCAAATGTGAACTGTTTACATGTTTACTGAAATTAAAGGTGATCAGGCGATCAAGCAGGATCAAGTCATGCAAAGGGCCTATTCTAACTTTCTATTCTGAAAGAAACTTTTATACTCGGTTATCTAGGAACATACCTTCGGATCTGTGTATTTGGAACGATAAAAAGATGGAAAGCATGATAAAACTCAAACGAATGTACACAGTGTACATAAACCTAACTGAATTACGTTTACCAGGTACCGCCATCTTGGATTGCGTACGTACCAAATCGAGGCTGGACAAAGAGAGTGTGTGACAGAGATGAAAAGGTAGATACGTCATCTGTGGGGGAATTGCCTTATTTCACTATGACGTCACATGATATTTTGCGCAGTGCACTGTGGGGGAAGCTGGGGGATAAAATGTCGATCATGGCGGAATTTTAAGTCCATTTCGATGAAAAAGACGTCAAGGGAGCTCGATAGAAGAACTCAAAAGGTGGCTTTTATGCAGAGGCTACAGCTCAGCCAAGTCAGAATCAAAGAAAAGTTTATGAAGAAGGTAAATATTCGTTTTAATGACCGAGTAAAGTTGTAGTGATTTGACATTCGTAAATTCGTATGTCTGCTTAGTCTCTTTCCCCGTTCTTTATTGAAGGGTGAAAGATTTAATCGACTGTGGCATGTCAAGATTTTTTATGGATCCCGATGACGACATTTTTAAAAAA